ATAGAACAGTAAAGCTCTGGAATTCATTGCCTGAGGAAAAATTCTCAGGATCTTATAATCCTCAAAAGTTGAAAAAAACCAATGCCTACCTCCTTTCCCAATCTACACAACCTCTAGCTAAAATCTACTACTTTTTCCCCTTGTATAACTAAGTATATTCATACAGAAGTACTGTATTTGTCATCCTCGTTGAATTATTTATCAGATAATTCAAATCGTAGGAATATAAGAGAATATAAGCTAGAAATGTTGGTTTAGTCTATGTTCGATCACGAGAATGATTCAAAATTAATTTTCCTCATCAGAAAATATGCTTTCATGTCCATCAAACTGTTTCGTTGGATCCGGCAAATATACCAAATTCTTCACACGCAAAGGGAAACGAAACATGTAATAGCTATCATTATTTCTGTTGGCAGAGTTATAGGATAGAATTCTGGGCTATCCAGTTTCCTTCAACTGCTCTTTTCAGGCGTGTTTCCAAATCATTCCACATCAATTCTAAATGAAAAACTATTAGACTCGGAGTTTAACGTACAGAAAAATGGCCTATTCTGGAAAGCTCAGTGCAATCTCAAAAGATTGAGGCTTGCATGGCAACTTAATGGAATAGATTGTTTTGTTTTTCCGAATAAAATGGAAATCACAGGAATATATCATACGTACCTATGGAGGATAAGGATAGGAGGTAGGTAATGGATTATTTTTCGAACTCATGGATATACAGGATGTTCCTTGAAGACATGCTGATATTCAAGGCGGTGATTCTTCAACCAGCAATTCTGATCCATATAGAAAAGGAGTTTGTGCTCCACTTGGAAACTCTGACCACAACCTCATCTCCAGAACTATCTCTTTCCATGTACCATCCAGCACCACAATTCCTACCCGTCTCATGTGGCATTACAATTTGGCCGACTGGGAAGGTCTTCGTATGTTTTCTTCAGCGTTTCCATGGAAGAAAGTTTGTTTCTCCTCAGCAGATCCTACACATTGTGCTGAGACAATACCTGAAATCATCATGTTAGGGATGCAAACCTACATACCGAACACTGCGAGAAGAACATCTTTCAATAAGGCCTGGTTTAGTAGATCACCTTTCGCCAACGTACTATAAGAAAGATTTTATTGGGCCTCAACACCAATTAAGCTTTTGGCTCCGAGGGAATCCCACCGATTGTTCACAAGAAATGTGCTCCCGAACTAATACATGTTCTCTGCAAGTTTTTCAACTACTCTTACAATCCAACTGGAAAATTGCAAGAGTACAACCAACTCCTAAAAGAGGCGAAAAGACCCTACCTAACAATTACAGACCGACTGCACTGCTATCTAATATAATAAAGATCATGGAGAAAGCTATCAACATCGAGCTGATGAAATACCTGGAACATTCAGGTATTATCAACGATAGGCAATATGGCTTTCGTCATCAGAGATCAACTGGTGACCTGCTCGCTTACGCCTCACCTTCATGGTAGCATTCTATTGAAAAATATGGTGAAACCTTAGCCGTGGCACTTGATATCTCCAAGGCATTCGATCGAGTCTGGCAACACGGACTCCTCGCCAAGCTTCCATCTTATGGCTTACCTCCCCAGCTATGTTCTCTGCTAGCCAGTTTTCTCTCGAACTTCTCCATGAAGTGGTAGACGGAGTTTCATCTAACTCGCTTATCATAAATGCTGGTGTTCCGCAAGGATCAATTCTAGCACTAACACTATTTCTACTCACAACTTCAAAAACAGTTTTTTAATAATAACTGGGATGATATTCTTCATGGAATTTGGTCCATATCTTCTATGCATCGAGGTGTATTTTTTTATGTACACAAATTTTTCTTTTCTCTACCAGTGGCGCTGTTAGGGAGATATGATTGATTATATTATACTCGAAAGTGAGCACGTGACCACAACCATTTTCATGCCAGATAGTAGTGAAAGAGGTACCTGTTTGCCTGACTTTTACCCCAACTCGCTAGCTTGTTCCGTTCGAAGATTAAAGGGGGGGGGGAGGACTTTTTACGTCCTCACTGTTTGATAATTTTAATTAATAATGAAACTGTTGACCTTCATGGAATAGGTAAACCTACTCGTATGATGAAACGTTATCGTCAAGAGAGTTTTACTATGAATTCAAGTAGGTTATGGTACTTTTGGGAATGCAAATGTTGCCTTCAACGCCCTATATACGAAACCCTATTTATGAACGTAATAAACCGAGTTACGATGCACGAACATATACCCAATTACTCGACAAAATAATACGAAATTTGATTGCCACCATTCCAAGAAGACTAATTTGACGATCACTGTAAATATCATCCAGATATTGAACTGTCACGCTGTCACGAACACAGTTGAGAAGTGGAAAGGCTTCTCCAGTGGTAGCACAAGGAGCAATAGTTATTTATTATACAAGGAAAAAAGTAGTAATTTTAGCTCCAGGTTGTGACCGTGAGCTAAAATTTAATATTTTTTCCGTGTACAATACACAATTTCTTGTGACAGCAAGAAGAACGAATCAATGTTCATGATTAGGAAATATAGAAAACACTATTTTTACCAAAAAATTGTACTTTTGTTTAGTTTCGAAAGCATTCACCATTTTCGAGATACTTCAATTTCAAAATTTCCATAAATCATTCATTTAACATCTCCTTGTGATGTTTGATCAACAACATGGGGAGTGCTGTAAAAATAATCAGTTGAAAAAGGACATGGTACGTACCCTATTAAGAAATAGTATATTGTTTAACGAGCATGGAATGGTTTCCCATGAGAATTAATCATTCGAGTGGGAAATTAGCATTCCGTGCGAGTTATACACTATGATTTTTCTACGGCTGTAACAGATAACAGCGGAATTTTGTATTTCTTCGTCTTGTAGCCAGCTCTAATCCCCAGGGGGGAATTTTCGGACCCATGTTCATATGAATTTCCTCCACAATTTCTGCTCCTACAATTTGTGGTTGAAATATTATATGTAATTTCGGGACACCATGTGCAGGGTGAGCCAAATTGGACACTTTTAAAGGGAAAATCCTTTTCCCCGTACTAAATAGAACAACACTGATATTGGTGCCTGTTGATCAATTCAAATGACAAATTCAATAGTGAAAACTGCATATAGATATCTATCTTCGTTTCAGAGTTACAAGTTGTTTTTCGAAGATATGAATTTTCGAAAAATGGCTGAAACTAATTTTTTCAAAAATTCTTCGTTTCCATAAAAAACATTTCCAAATCATTGTGTTTGTCATGAAAATGGATCCTCAGACACTGAAATCAGTCACCATATACCTTGTTTCAAAATAGAATTTTACCTTCAAGAAGAACAGGTTATATTCTTGGAGAAGATATAGGAAGGCCGATTTCATTACCTCAGGAATGACTATTATCACAAACTCAATGCTTTGTAGTTATTTTCCTGAGAACATGCAATCTTTACCAAAAAAATATCTGTAGCCACTTTTCAAAAATGACCATTTTCGAACGCCCTACTATTTTCGCTCCATTAGATAGACCTTTCGAAGAGCTTTCCGAAAATACCCCACTCAATACACTTATCTTCAGTATTTCTCATCATATACACGTTTGAACCTGAAATTCGTTTCTATTGATTTCTGAATGAATAACAACTATTCTATGATTGTAGATAGTATGTCATGAGGTGACCATGAGTAACTGGAAAAATAATGAGGGTTTGTTATGACATTTTATTGTCATCTCTAGTGAAGATAAATTCCATCGTCATTTCTTGCTATTTTCCTCCAGAAGCAATTCTTGAATCATGGTTTATTCAAATGAAGAAAAGCAAGAAATAGTAACTTCATTCGCATAGAAAATTATCAAAACGCATCCGCTGCAAGACGTGGCTATGAATTGCGTTTTCCGAATGGTAATATTCCATCAAGGCGAACCATCAAGAACATTTACTCAAAGTTCAGAAGGACTTCCAATTTACAACGAAAAAAAGAACAGGTGAATATGACGAAAGCCATGAATTGAATATCTCACTGAATCATATAGAGCATCCGAAAAAATCATTGAGGATTTCGGCAAAAGAATAAAGTGCACGTTTCGGACCACATAAGAAATCAAAGGGAGACTTACTATCCGTGAAGTTTGGAAACAATATTAATCATTCCAGAATTACGTCATTTGACAGGTTGCTGAGGGGCAAACATTGTATTTTGTCAAGATCTGTCATAGAAAACAAGAATTAGTGGGATCGTTTTCCTTGGAATCCGAGTTGGAACCAGAAAGAATTTCATAATTTCGTTTGGTGAAACTATCATCATATTATGGATGTGGCAGAGGGACGGCCTGGGCAATGCTCATCAAAGGTAACCTAACAGATAGTTTGTGTGCCCCTCAAGAAACCATGTCGAAATCACGTGTTCTAGAATGATCAATAAATTCAGACCTTATAAATTCCATACGGTACAAAAATTGACAGAGATTCATAGAAATCAAAGACTGAATTTTTGCAACTTGATGTTGAATAGATTGAATAATGATAAGAAATTTTAATTTCCGGAAATTAAATCAATATTACAACTCACTGTCAACGAGTATTGAATACCATAACGATATATTAATTACCTAGATTCATTGTCACAGCATACTCTCAAATATCATTTGATAAACACTTTTTATTTTTAGGTTAGATTGTCCATATTATGAGAAATACTGAATATAAATGTATTGAGTGGGGTATTTTCGAAAAACTCTTCGAAAGGTCTATCTAATGACGCGAAAATATATAGGACGTTCCATTTAAAATTTTTACACTTTTTCTTGCTCCCTGTATATCCTCTGAGATACTAAAAATATATCAGTTGATTCGATTAAAAAAAAATCTCCTGTGAGGCTGTTTTTTTAATTTTTTTCTACTGTAAAAAATAATATAGCTATATAAATATAACGTGTCACCCGATACATGGAAAACTGACAGTTTCATGTGTCTAATTGTAAATGTTTTTCTGAAATTTCCAGGTACTGGGCAGTAACAAACATCGACTACATCCATCACCGCACGTCAAAACGAATCGGAATCATGATCTTCATCATCTGGTTGGTTTCTTTCTTCGTCTGCATAGCACCACTGTTAGGCTGGAAGGACCCCAATTGGGAGGTATCTATATATTTCCGACCACAATAAAAAACATACTAGAAAGTTCATTCTCAGATAAATTATGGACATACAAAAATTGATATATATTTATATGAAGCCAATAAAAAATTTTTAAAAACACACACGATGAGAGTTTGAAAATAAAATATAAAAACTTCTGAAATTGAGAATTTGCATTCTCCTTCAGACAAAAATATGTATATGCATACATCATTCTGAATATTCAACAGAAAACAACTACTTTCCTGGCTATTTGCCACGTCGAACATTGAATTATATCTGATGAACATTCAAAAGGAGAACATGAAAAATAAAAAATAAAATCCTCCGAAATTGAGAATTGACATTCTTCTTCAAATCGGATGAATAATATGATGTATAGAGATATAACTTACCTATATATTCAGCATTGAAATGAAAATTGGAATGTATAGGTGAAGTATATACTGGCATAAACTCTGATCTTGATGAGAATGAAAACTTCCAAAAATAATCAATGAAACCATTTCGGATTTCTGAATCCTCATCAGTAACCATGATGTCCACTTATTCTTACTGCCATTCTTCATGATATACACAATTTTGATCTCTCTATAATACAATTTTTGCAATTTTCAGGCATTTTTGCGATTTTTGCAATATTAGGAATTTTCAGGAATTTTTGCAATTTTCGCAATTTTCAGGAATTTTTACTGTTTTCAGGAATTTTTGCAATTTCTGCAGTTTTTACAATTTTCAGAAATTTTCAGGAATTTTCGCAATTTTTGCAATTTTCAGGAATTTCACAATTTTCAGGCATTTTTGCGATTTTTGCAATTTTCAGGATTTTTTGCAATTTTTGCAATTTTCAGGAATTTTTCCAATTTTCAGGAAATTTTGCGATTTTCACAATTTTCAGTAATTTTTCCAATTTTCAGGAATTTTTGCAATTTTTCCAATTTTTGCAATTTTCAGGCATTTTTGCGATTTTTGCAATTTTCAGGAATTTTTGCAATTTTCAGGCATTTTTGCGATTTTTGCAATTTTCAGGAATTTTTACAATTTTTGCAATATTCAGGCATTTTTGCAATTTTCAGGAATTTTTGCAATTTTCAGGAATTTGCAATTTTTGCAATTTTCAGGAATTTTTGCAATTTCTGCAATTTTCAGGCATTTTTGCGATTTTTGCAATTTTCAGGAATTTTTGCAAAATTGCAAAAATTCCTGAAAATTGCAAAAATTGCAAAAATTCATGAGAATTGCAAATATTGCAAAAATTCCTGAAAATTGCAAAAATCGCAAAAATTCCTGAAAATTGCAAAAATTCCTGATAATTGCAAAAATTGCAAAAATTCCTGGAAATTGCAAAAATTCCTGAAAATTCCTGAAAATTGCAAAAATCGCAAAAATGCCTGAAAATTGCAGAAATTGCAAAAATTCCTGAAAATTGCAAAAATTTCAATTCCTGAAAATTACAAAAATTGCAAAATTTTTTGGAAATTCCGAAAATTGGAAAAATTGCAAAAATTCCTGAAAATTGCAAAAATGCCTGAAAATTGCAAAATCGGAAAAATGTCTGAAAATTGCAAAATTGCAAAAATTCCTGAAAATTGCAAAAATTGCAAAAATTCATGAGAATTGCAAATATTGCAAAAATTCCTGAAAATTGCAAAAATCGCAAAAATTCCTGAAAATTGCAAAAATTCCTGATAATTGCAAAAATTGCAAAAATTCCTGGAAATTGCAAAAATTCCTGAAAATTCCTGAAAATTGCAAAAATCGCAAAAATGCCTGAAAATTGCAGAAATTGCAAAAATTCCTGAAAATTGCAAAAATTTCAATTCCTGAAAATTACAAAAATTGCAAAATTTTTTGGAAATTCCGAAAATTGGAAAAATTGCAAAAATTCCTGAAAATTGCAAAAATGCCTGAAAATTGCAAAATCGGAAAAATGTCTGAAAATTGCAAAAATTGCAAAAATTCCTGAAAATGGAAAAATTTCAAAAATTCATGAGAATTGCAAAAATTGCAGAAAATTGCAAAAATCGCAAAAATTCCTGAAAATTCCTGAAAATTGCAAAAATCGCAAAAATGCCTGAAAATTGCAGAAATTGCGAAAATTCCTGAAAATTGCAAAAATTTCAATTCCTGAAAATTACAAAAATTGCAAAATTTTTTGGAAATTCCGTAAATTGGAAAAATTGCAAAAATTCCTGAAAATTGCAAAAATGCCTGAAAATTGCAAAATCGGAAAAATGTCTGAAAATTGCGAAAATTGCAAAAATTCCTGAAAATTGCAAAAATTGCGAAAATTCATGAAAATTGCAAAAATTGCAAAAATTCATGAGAATTGCAAAAATTGTAAAAATTTCTGAATATTGCAAAAATTCCTGAAAATTGCAAAAATGCCTGAAATGTGCAAAATCAGAAAAATGCCTGAGAATTGCAAAAATTGCGAAAATTCCTGAAAATTGCAAAAATTGCAAAAATTCCTGAAAATTGCAAAAATTGCAAATATTCCTGAAAATTGCAAAAATTGCAAAAATTGCAAAAAATGCAAGAATTTCTGAGAATTGCAAAAACTACTGAAAATTGCAAAAATCGCAAAAATTGCAAAAATTACTAAAAATTGCGAAAATTGTAAAAATTTCTGAAAATTACAAAAATTCCTGAAAATTGCAAAAATTGCAAAGATTCCTGAAAATTGCAAAAATTGCGAAAATTCCTGAAAATTGCAAAAATTGCAAAAATTCCTGAAAATTGCTAAAATTGCAAAAATTCATGAGAATTGCAAAAATTGCAATAATTACTAAAAATTGCAAAAATTGTAAAAATTTCTGAATATTGCAAAAATTCCTGAAAATTGCAGAAAAGCCTGAAATGTGCGAAATCGGAAAAAATGCCTGAGAATTGCAAAAATTGCGAAAATTCCTGAAAATTGCAAAAATTGCAAAAATTCCTGAAAATTGCAAAAATTGCAAATATTCCTGAAAATTGCAAAAATTGCAAAAAATGCAAGAATTTCTGAAAATTGCAAAAACTACTGGAAATTGCAAAAATCGCAAAAATTGCAAAAATTACTAAAAATTGCGAAAATTTCTGAAAATTACAAAAATTCCTGAAAATTGCAAAAATTGCAAAAATTGCAAAGATTCCTGAAAATTGCAAAAATTGCGAGAATTCCTGAAAATTGCAAAAATTGCAAAAATTCCTGAAAATTGCAAAAATTGCAAAAATTCCTGAAAATTTCAAAAATTCCTGAAAATTGCAAAAATTGCAAAAATTCCTGGAAATTGCAAATTTTGCAAAAATTCCTGAAAATTGCAAAAATTTCAAAAATTCCTGAAAATTGCAAAAATTGCAAGAATTCCTGAAAATTGCAAAAATTGCAAGAATTCCTGAAAATTGCAAAAATTGCAAAAATTCCTGGAAATTGCAAATATTGCAGAAATTGCAAAAAATGCAAAATTCCTGCAAATTGCAAAAATAGCAAAAATAACTGAAAATTGCTGAAATTGCAAAAATTCATGAGAATTGCAAACATTGCAATAATCACTAAAAATTGCAAAAATTGCAAAAATTCCTGAAAATTGCAAAAATTCCTGAAAATTGCAAAAATGCCTGAAAATTGCAAAATCTGAAAAATGCCTGAAAATTGCAAAAATTGCAAAATATCCTGAAAATTGCAAAATTTGCAAAAATTCCTGGAAATTGCAAAAATTGCAAAAATTCCTGAAAATTTTCAGGAATTTCTGCAATTTTCTGTCATTTTTGCAATTTTTGTAGTTTTCAGGAATTTTTGCAATTTTCAGGAATGTTTGCAATTTTCAGAAATTTTTACAATTTTTGCAATTTTTAGTAATTTTTGCAGTTTGTAAAATTCTCAGGAATTTTTGCTTCTTCTGCAATTTTCAGTAGTTTTTGCAATTTTCAGAAATTTTTGCAATTTTTGCAATTTTTGCAATTTTTGCAATTTTTGCAATTTTTGCAATTTTTGCAATTTTTGCAATTTTTGCAATTTTTGCAATTTTTGCAATTTTCATGAATTTTTGCAATTCTCAGGAATTTTTGCAATTTTTGCAATTCTCAGGAATTTTTGCAATTTTTGAAATTTTCAGGAATTTTTGCAATTTTTGCAATTTTCAGTAATTTTTGCATTTTTTGCAAATTTCAGGCATTTTTGTGATTTTTGCAATTTTCAGGCATTTTTGCGATTATCGCAATTTTCAGGAATTTTTGCGATTTTTGCAAATCTCAGGCATTTTTGCGATTTTTGCAATTTTCAGGAATTTTTACAATTTTTGCAATTTTCAGTAATTCTTGCAATTTTCAGGAATTTTTGCAATTTTTGCAATTTCAGGCATTTCTGCAATTTTTGCAATTTTCAGGAATTTTTGCAATTTCTGCAATTTTCAGGCATTGTTGTGATTTTTGCAATTTCCAGGAATTATTGCAATTTTTGCAATTTTCATTAATTTTCACAATTTTTGCAATTTTCAGGCATATTTGCATTTTTCAGGAATTTATTTTTGCAATTTTTGCAATTTTTGCAATTTTTGCAATTTTTGCAATTTTTGCAATTTTTGCAATTTTTGCAATTTTTGAAATTTTTGCAATTTTTTCAATTTTTGCAATTTTCAGTAATTTTTGCATTTGGGTGTATGATAAATTGACATTCATCATACAGGGCGTGGAAAGAAATTCTGAATTGAGACTCTATCACGAATCTGCGATTAGAGGTCTATAAAAATCACAAGTTTCCATCGTTCAAGTTTGAACCTCCTGATTGGGTATGAAAGTGTTGAAAAGGAATATCCTCAGATAAATTATGGACATACAAAAATGGATATATATTTATATGGAGCAATACATTGAGAATGCTGAGAATATGTACTCTTTTTCAGTTTATTCAATATAAAACAACAACTTTCCTGGCTATATGCCACGACGAACATTGAATTATATCTATTAAACACACACGATAAGAGTTTGAAAATAAAATATGAAAACTTCTGAAATTGAAAATTTGCAGTCTCCTTCAGACAAAAATCACAAGATTTGTCTGTCTGTTTGAAGGTCCGCCTACGCGACAGCAAATGCTTGGTCAGCCAGGATCTGTATTACCAGATCTTCGCCACAGCGTCCTCCTTCTATCTACCACTGATGGTCATCCTGATCCTGTACTGGAGGATATTCCAGACTGCCAGGAAGAGGATCCGCAGGCGGCAGGTTCTAGCAGCAGGAGCACAACAGGAAGCGAAGAATCCTGCTGCCGGAGGAATAGCAGGAGGACTGGCAGCTGCTAGCGGTACAGGTATTTTCTGTGTTCCAATGAAATATTCCACGAAAATGTTCGTAAAATGAACAACAATGCGGTAGATGACTGATGAAAATAGTAGACTGTTTTATTAGGATCAAAAGTGACACTTCAAACAAACAAACAAACAACAAAGTCACTTTTGATCCGAATGAAACATGCTATTTTTTCTGCAACCGAAACAATTAACTCGAATAAATATGAGAAGTAACCACCAATGCCGTGCCATATGTATGCAATGCAACAAAAACTCCGTGTGGTGAATTCTACCTGCATTTTAACAGCAGATTTATTCAATTTTCTAGGATGTTTGATGGATGAATTGTAGTTTCCATTTAAATACAACCACAGAGTAACATATTTACAAATACAAATACAGATACAAAATATTTATTTCCATAGACTTTGCAGTATTGGATAATGTCATAATATATTTTCTAAGTGGAAAATCCGATATAGAGTGAGTGAACATACATAATAGGTAGAAAAACAAACTTCGAAAAATTTTGCACACAAACAAAAGAGGTAAGGACATCAACAAAAAGTATTAGGTGCGAGGTCAGAGACGTTGCAATTGAAAAAATCATTGATTGAATAAAATGCATTTCTAATCAAAATAACTTCAAGGGTATTTTTAAATTTATGTTTATTTCGTTTTTTTTTTCAAGTCAATTGGTAGTTTATTATATAATTTGATAGGTAGCACAATGGGACTATTTGCTACCTTGGTCAGTCTGTGCTCGGGTGAGGCAAAATCCATATCTACTCTAAGATCATATTGGGGTAGGGGTAGGGGTTTTAGGGGTCCAATGGATCTGAAAGTTCTAGTACCTCTTTATTTCACAATATAACCCTCTCATCATGAATCAGACACATACCTATGAATGACACAATGATATCTTTTTAACCTCTCTGTTCTTCAACGATGAAACTTCTCGGAGTGACTGATGCTTACTGGTTGGTATGTGGTATCTAGCATTTCTTCAAAGTCGATTCTTATTCGTTGTGAAGTGCTGCTGAAATGCTTCATTAGTTATATATTAGTGGCCTATGAGTTGCATGAGTTTATAACTTGATAATATAGTCTGATGACGTGATAACATGGAGCTTTTCAATTCTCATTATTTTCTTGGCACAGGTATTTCTGTAGCTGAAACCTTATTGTTATTCAGTTCTTCAATATAGAGACAGGTTCACATATCCTTAGATTGCTTTTGACTGCAACAAACGAGTTTAAAATGATAGTTGCTTTTGTGAAGTATAGCTAACTCTGAATATCATGGTCATTAGCTATAAAAATTACGAGATACCAAACACACCAAACACTATGTAGGTAGATTGATACTTACTCAATAGAGAATCCGTCTTCTATTATTATCAATTGAGAATACTCCTGCCATCATGAATAACCACCAGGGTAAGAGAGGACCACATTAATTCGACATAAACAAACTAGTACGCGATCACCACTCAAGAGTCAGCCATCTTAGTGACATATAATATTGATCAGCTGATTGTTGATGTAGACGTTCCCAGAACATCCACCAGGGGGACGAGTAGCGAACATGAAATTGGCCAGCAAAGGGCCAGATCTCGTTAGTATTCAATTAGTTCCAGACATCTTACCATCACAAGGCCATCATCGTATTTTTAACTGATGGTTACTTGGCATAGGGAAATCATCGGCCCATTACCAATACCCCGGCATCGTCACTTTCCCAGACTAGCCTGCCCTAGGCCGGACTTCTCCCGCTAGTTCAATGTTTGCTGGGTACTGAGGTGTATTCCTATCTCCAGCATGGGTTGGCATAAATCTGTCGAAATCTAGTTCTATCCTAGTGTGCTACTTAAATACTACATGATAAGGTTTTCGAAGACTTAGGTTTTGAAAGCGTTCATCAGTCGGGATCAAAGTTGGGCAGTACATTAGGTAATCCAAAAGATTGAGTGAACACACTTGAAAAAGCAGAAATATACGAAATTAGTTGTGAAGATTGTGATAGAACATAGATAGGCCAAACCAGGCGTCCCATAAAAACAAGGATCAGAGAGCACTCAGCACATTTGAAATATGGTAGGTTAGATAAATCGTGTGTAGCCGAACATATGTTCAATCACAATCATAACACACATATTACTAATCTCAAATTGGTCAAGCAAGTTAATAACGTTAGGAAATTAGATGCATACGAGAGCTATGAGATATTTAAGAATAATAATAGAGTAATGAATAAGGATAATGGACCTATCCTATTCAGCCATCTGTATAGTTAAGTGATATAAGACCAAGGTTAACATGTGAACTCAACCATGACTAACATTAACTTGGCGGTTATTGTCTTTCAAGGTTTGGTGGATATTTACCTAGGGTATAAGTAGCACACTAGGATAGAACATTCAGTTTTCATCTTCTCCTGAAGATGCTAACATAGTTAGCGAAACACGTGTCGAGGTGTAAAAATCAGTTTGGTTAGTGATGAAACAGTTTGCCAAAGGTTCTATAGTTTTCGATTTATAGATCATAAATATGTTGGACCCAAGTGAATTCTTTCAAATTATGAAGGCTTGACAGTTTGCACACTGTCAGTAGTGCGTGAAATAATAATTACCAAACTAATGGAAACCATTTTGAGTTTTCATTGATACTGTTATGAGCAGTAGAAAGTCCATTTTCACATTGTAATGTATTAATCAATGTGCTGTGTGTATTCCGTATACAGAATTTTGATTAGTTTGCTGTGTTTTGCTGCTGACTATAATCGATTTGGAAGATTGATGATGATGGGTTCAATTTTATGGGCGTTATGTGTAATCCATTCATTGCGAATTATTGTCTGTTGTAGATAACAGGAGTAATGTATATGCTCAACGATCATTTCCATACGTGAGACATGTTTATGTGGAAAGATAAGGACATTGAATTTAATTCTCTGTTTGTATCAAAGTGGCCGGCCAAGAATGAGACAGTCTAAATGATGTCTATGCTTTGTTCCTATATTTTCGAATGTCACAATTCCTTACCTTCCTTTCAATTTCAGCTTCTAGGAAAAATCTATAAATGATATAGCTCGGTACTTGACAGTTCATTTGGAAAATCACACGGAACTATACAGGGTGGTTTTTTTTCTTATGTTCTGGTTCCCACGAAAAGGGATATCCTGTAATGTTCAGAGAACATCGTGAGAACCAAGGGAAATACGGTAGGAATTGGTGTTCTTCTTAAATTTCTGGAGGTTATATGCCTCGGGAAACACCTCCCTTGGCAATGTGTTTCAGAGCCTCGCTGTTCGCTGGATGATTGAGTCTATGAAAAAATATGTTCTGCAGGTCTCCAAAATGACCACAAAGGGGTGCGAAGCCTCAACCCGACGGGTTAATCTCGCAGGGACTGCCAAGGGAGGAACAATTGTTGATATTCTAGAGGAGCATCGTCCATGAAAATATCTATAAAATAGACCCAGATCGCCAACTTTTCTACGGTGTTCCAAAGAAGTGAGTGAGTTTGTGAGCGAGGCATCACCCACGAGACGAATTGCCCTTTTTTGGACAAAATCCAACAGTTCCAGGGTATGTTTGGGTGTAGTACAAATATGGGAACAGTATTTCAGGACAGGTTGGATCTGTGCCTTATAGATTATAAGCAGCTGACTGAAAGTAAAATAGCTCCTGGGCCGAAACAAAAAACCAAGTTTTTGAGATGCACTTTTAGCAATTAATCTCACGTGATTTTCCCAAGAAAGGTATTTGCTGATCGTAAAACCAAGCATCGAAATGGGTGTCTTCAAAGGTCTTGACAAGATTATGTTGGGCACAGTGAGATCGGCTTTCTAGAGGAAGAGAAGCTCGAGTTTTGTTTGCATTGAGATCTACCAAGTTATTGGATCCTAATTCGACAATTGTTGACAAGTCCATATTTTTGTTGTCAACATGTCTCCCTCGTTCGTTTCTGATTTGCCTGGCTGGTATTGGAGCCCTGGAAGAGAAGGCGGTACGGAGGGTACTATCATCCGCGAAGCTGTGTACTGGACACGAAGTTGCTTCCAACAAATCGTTGATATGGAGTAGAAATAGTGTTGGTGCTAGAATTGATCCTTGCGGAACACCAGCATTTATGATAAGAGAGTCAGATGGAACTCCGTCGACCACTACATGGAGAGACCTGTTTGAGAGAAAACGAGCTAGCAGAGAACATAGCTGGGGAGGCATCAAGCCATAAGATGGAAGCTTGGCGAGGAGTCCGTGGTGCCAGACTCGATCGAATGCCTTGGATATATCAAGTGCCATATAATATATATTCGTCTCTTGTCGGTATCTATGTTGTATGTTCATGTATTTTTTATCTATACTCTCATATATTAACTGATGTTCTACCCAGATTTTGTCAATAAGATATTTGATCTTCGACAATAAAGCATACTTTCGATTGAATAATTGATTGATTGATATCTCGTTGAAATCTTTCAGATCTAACATCCATAAGGCCTGTAACATTATATGGGGTGAATGTTTGAATTTGAATTTTCAGTAGTAGTAGTAGTAGTAGTAGAAGTATGTCTGTTCTCACTACTGTTTGTACCATAGTATTGTCGTCGATTAAATTTTCGACCTTGTCTGTAATTACTTGACGAATAAATAATCTAGTTACTCTTTTTCATTAACATTTCATAGAAAATTACTTACTTGCAGGTATAGCACTGATGATGGCTCATTAGCCGAAAGCGCTCTGTGATGGATAATAATTTTCTTATACACGAAATACAAAATGCCTTCATTGTAATCATTCAATGCCTATCATATTCTGTTTAGTTGTACCACTCAGTGTTGGTTGGGGGGTCGTGAATATCCAAGCAGGTGGGAGGAATGTGGTTGTAATCATCCAAACATATCTTATGTTATGTCACACATGAATTATTCAGACATTTCATGAGTAATAAGACCTACCTATACCCTTTCGTTGAAACAGTGGTGGCGCAGTGTTTGAGTTTCTAATATGATTT